CACGAGAGACAGGATGGTCAGCAATGCCTGCTGGCCAAACGGGGAAGGGACACAGAGTGGGACAACAGGAGCTGACCCTGACACAATATCAGCCTAGTTTGGTCCTGATGGTCACTTTTTAGGTGTTTTGCTATTAGATCTCCTGCAATTACAATTGGCCATAGAGGTCAATGTGACCATAAGGAGAACATGCAAACTCCACATGCATGGACCATGGCAGAGACTTGAACCCTATAGCAATAGCATCAACTACTGCATCACCCTTGCGAAGTTACATATTACAGGGAACACGCCCCCTGCCCTGTATCATGTACGGAGCCTGGTTGGACCTGTTTTTTGTGATTATTTTTTTTAATTATTCGCATTTGCAAATAAAAAGGCGAAGTATAATATCGGCAGATTTCGGGCTGGGGGACTGCAAAGTATGTTTACCGCGGTAGATGCACCGTGCTTCCGCACTCACAGCTCTTCACCGCTCTCACTGTGTCTTTAGTCGCGTGACTGGAAGTGAGTGTCTGCCTACCGGATTGTTAGTTGAGAATAAACCGTTCTAACGGAGAGTATGGGGATCTCCAAATAAAAACTGTAAGAAAAAAAAACTTATAATTATTTAATGAGATATATTAATCATATGTGTTTTTGTATTGGGACACCCCTCCAAATCATTGAATTCCGGTGTTCCAATCCCTTTCATAGCCACAGGTGTATAAAAGCAAGCCCTAGGCATGCAGAATGGGTCGCTCTCAGGAGCTCAGTGAATTCTAGCGCGGTACCGTGATAGGATGCCACCTGTGCAATAAGTCGTGAAATTTCCTTGCTACTAAATATTTCATGGTCAACTGTTAGTGATATTATAACAAAGTGGAAGCAATTGGGAACAACAGCAACTCAACCACGAAGTGGTAGGCCAGGTAAAATCACTGAGCAGGGACAACGCATGCTGAGGCGCACAGTGTGCAGAAGTCGCCAACTGTCTGCGGAGGCAATAGCTACAGACCTCCAAAATTCATGAGGCCTTCAGATTAGCTCAAGAGCATTGCATAGAGAACTTCATGGAATGGGTTTCCATGGCCGAGTAGCTGCATCCAAGCCTTACATCACCAAGTGTATTGCAAAGTGTTGGCTGTGGTGGCTTAATGGTTAGGGGAAATGCACTCATATTTGAAAGATTGCAGGTTTGAATCCCCAACCAGCAAGGCACCATTGAGGTACCCTGAGCAAGATACTGCTCCCTGGGTGCTGCATTAGCTGCCCCCTGCTATGTCACATTGTAACATATGGGTTAAATGTAGAGAACACATTTCGGTGTTGTGTGTCAACAATGATAATTAATCACTTAATTCTAAAAAAAAAAAAAAAGAACAAATTCTAATTGTAAAGCATGCTGCCACTGGACTCCAGAGCAGTGGAGATGTGTTCTCTGGAATGACAAACCATGCTTCTCTGTCTGGCAATCTGATGGATTAATCTGGTTTTGGTGGTTGCCAGGAGAATGGTACTTACATTGTTCCAACTGTAAATTTTGGTGGAGGGGGGATTATGGTGTGGGGTTGTTTTTCAGGGGTTGGGCTTGGCCCCTTAGTTCCAGTAAAAGGAAGTCTTAATGCTGCAGCATTCAAAGCCATTTTGGACAATTTCATGCTCCCAGCATTGTGGAAACAGTTTGGGGATGGCCCCTTCCTGTTCCAACATGACTGCACCAGTGCACAAAGCAAGATCCATAACGACATGGATAAGTGAGTCTGGTGTGGAGGAGTCTGAAAACCTGCGCACATTTGGCCAGCATGTGTTGCTGGTCATTCTGTTTTCCTCCTTCCCTCCCTCCCTCTTGTATACCTTAGCCCTTGTGTGTTGTCCTGTTGAGTGGGCTGCTGCATAGCTCACCGGGCTGAACATGTGGCTTCAGAGGCTGTACCATCCAGTTCTGGGTTTGAGAGCAATCTCCCCTGTTCTATGTTTATTAGGCTTTTTGTTTCCTAGTGTTCTTGACTTGGTGTATTTTCCGAGTTTTAGGTTTTCCTCCCCTTCTGCTATGTTTTATTATTTCTGTGTAGTCTTATGGTCTCTCTGGCATTACCCTAGTGTTTGCTGTGTATTCTTATGGTACCCCCCATATTTACATAATTTCTTTAATACCTATTTCTTTGTGCTGGATAGATGGAGCTAATGATTTTTTTTCTTTAAAAGTATTATTAAATTTTTTTGTCCAACAAATCCATTTTCATTTATAATGTGGATTCGGACATACTGCTCATTTCACATACTATATTTCACCGATTACATAGTAAATAAGTATGCTATTTCGGGCGCACGTTCATGACTTTATTAATTTCCTTACGGCACATCAGAAGGTGTCCCTAACGTATGACGTCATCGGCCAGCGCGAAGGACCCCTTCGAGGAATCGGCACGGTTGAAATGAAAGTGAAGTTGGACTCAGCTGTTGAATTTGTTACTGACTAGTTTACATGTAACATAGCCACCAATAAATTTAATATTAAAACATGTTTATTGCAACTGAAAGCATACCGAGTTCTTTTCGAGGCTTCACCCTCATAATGGTAAATGCTGTTATTTTTTTTCGCTGTTCCTGTTTATTTTGAACCAAATGTCATCAGTGTACAGTTGTCATATTAGTCATATTTCTCAACAGCCAGCAGTCTCCGTCGGGAATGTGGGTCAGCTAGCCACGGACCTGATCATCTCGACCCTTGGGATGCCCCGAGTAGGTTATATCCATACCGACTGCTTGATTCCCATGGCTGGAAACGACCCATATCCGACATGTGCGGACGACGCGGCCGAACTGAGCACCAACGCGGAAGGTGCGTAGAGTTTCAATCCGAATCCGATGATGTGATCCAGACCCCATGCACATGTCCACACATGAGGTGTTTATTCTGCTTACGCAGTTTACTGTTTACCGGACGTGAAACTGGCTGTACTTCAGATACGGGCACCTTTCGTACAGGTGAGACATGCTACACAAACTCCCTGAGAATTATCTGTTTATTTAAAATCCTGGTTTGGAAACCTCAGATTTGACTAATTTTCTACATTTACAGAAAAATTGTAACATTTGGATTGCACAAATGAGAAATAATTGCGTTGTTTTCATGTTGTATAATTTTGGCATCTTGTGGTTTTTTCAGCTGTTTATAATTATGTTCGGCAAGTTCAGATTGACTATTCATTCTCTGTTTTAGAGAAAGTCCAGAAAGTTCCGGAAACTTATCTTGTCTTGGATCAAGTCTAGTGGTTTTGACAGGACTGTCGTGTTGTCCAGCAGCCATGCCTACCAGAGAGATGATCAGCAGCTTCTTGGGTACAGCGCAGTTTTGTCTGAAAACTTCGTACCATGCTGGTATTGAAGCTGATGATTACAGAAAGATATTTACAACTCAGTGGTCATCTTCCTTTGTGTTTAGCGCACCTTTGCGGTACCTGCTCAGCCCAGTCCTGGAACAGGAGGCTGGAACCCAGCTAAATACGCTTGAGTGGAAGGAGATAGAGCAGGTGTCTGCTTTCCCAGGGATCAATGACTCAGACAAGCGTCTTTACATCCCAGGAGGCGGGATCACTAAAGGCCTTTACACAGACGGGTATGACAGAGTACATGGTTACCACACTCTCACAGTGAGCTGATTGTAATAAGATTTGGTAGGATAGTAGGAATTTGAACTTAGATGGCAAAAAAATTTATTTGCCATAAATGTTTTTACAGTTGTTCAGAAGGCATCAAAATGGCAGTTCTTCTGATCTTCTGCTCTGAAGGTGACAACATCCCTGATGCATTTGCTCTGGTGAATTATCTTAATGACTGGCTCCATCTAGTGGACAAACCTGTAAGTGTTCCTCAAATGCTCTGCTTGTGTGATAGATTGATTTACCATGTCTTAACATCCATAATGTCCCGTGATGTGTAAGAGACCGGATCCCCTTTGGAGAATACACCAGTGAGAGAGAAAGTTTAAAGTAAATTTTAAATTGATATTCGATATCTTTGTTACAATGATTTCTGGGGTCAAGGGCATAAGAGAGTGTTTGATATTGGGGGGTGGTGATGAATGAATCCCAATGAAATCTATTTATTCATTTCCTGTACCCGCTTGTCATGGGGCTCCCGAGTCTATCCTGGAGCCTACAGATGCAAAGCAGGGAACAACTCAGGATGGGGTGCACACACCATTCACATACACACCTACGGACAATTTGATAACTCCAATTAACCTCACGTTTTTGAACTGGGGGGGGGGGATGGAACAAGAATACCTGGGGAGAACATGCAAACTCCACATGCATGGCAGAGACTTGAACCCTGGTCCCAGAGGTGTGAGGCAATAGCGTCAACCACTGCATCACCCTTGCGAAGTTACATATTACGGGGAACACGCCCCCTGCCCTGTATCATGCACTTCCTGGGACAGGCTTACCCTGTTCTAGATGAGGTTGGGAGTTTGATGGTGCAATGGTGGAATGTGTTAGAGTTGTTAACTAGGCCAACTTGGGAATTCTGTTAACTGACTTGTAACCCCTCCCATCCCCAGAGCCAGATGTCAACCCAGTGGAGGGTCCCAGGGTCCTGGAGGCTGCTTTTCGGCAGTGGGATCCCCCCTGCGATCTTCTGAACTTGCTGAGCTGCGTGTTGCGGCACATGGCTGAGGCTAGGATGCTGCCCACAGTGTGCTGACAGCTAGCCTGGGTCATGCAGAGCACCTTCACGTACAGCAGCTTTGGCTGTCGTGTGTCACCATGGAGCCCTGTGGTCACCCTGGTTTAAGACAAAGTAGCACTGCTTGCATTTTGGAAGCGCTTCAATAAAGTTTGTAGTAAAATTGCAACTGTGTTTAGAGAATCATTTTGGAGTTAGACGTGCATCCCCATGACCTGTAGGAATCAGCAGCCCTGAGAATCATTCTGAAACTGCGCATGTATGATTGCAACATATTCCTAAGCGAGGCTTGGTTCAATGGTAGAAATAGACATGACAGGAGTCAGGTATTCTTGAGCTAAATATTACAAAGTTTGTTTATTCTCCAAACAGTAGGTTTTATTCCAAGGAGAACATGGCCATTAACTCAATTTTCTTTAAAACCAGACAAGTCTGTCTTTCACACAATCAAAAATATGTTTCTTTCAAAAAGTATTCGAAAAGGTACAGTATGTACACTTGTGAAATCTGCTTCTAACAAACATTTTACAACTTAAACTGTAGGAAATGTAAGTTCTTACAAAAATAGTATATAATTCACCGTTTGAGGGGAAACTGTAAAAATATGGGTGTGGAAAGCATGGGAAAGAAGCAGACCTGAGAGTGAGCGTCGTGACCCATGTGGGCTGAGGCCCACTGAAAGTGTTCTTCGTCCGCAGATTGCTGAAGTTAACGCTGTAAACGCTTGGAGGGGTGTGTGCGGCTGGCCCCCCGGGATGGACTGGATTCCCGCTGGTGTCGTCTTACTGCCCGCTGGATTCACCATGCCCGTTAGGTGTTTGCTGTCCTGGCCCTGCCACGCATATATGCACCCACACACACACACACACACGGCAGAGGGAAGAGCAGCTTCAGCCATGCCCCTTGGTGTCACAGGCAGAGTTTGCATGCTCTTCAGAGAACTGCAGTGTTTCCATGCAGTCAACAGAAAGCCCCATGATGGGTGGGGGTCACATTCTCCCTGTCAAATTGACAGTCAGAGGTATGACTTCTATTATCTAGACAGACAGCTTCTGCGCTGCTGTCTTTCTCCATGACGATATTTAATGCAGGGTCACCGAGGGCCAGCAGCCAGGAGCCCCGTCAGCAACACCAAGGGGAAAGGATGGGGAAAAACCTGCGGCTGTGTAGGCGTGAGTGTGTGATGGCAGCTTCCTTGCAGATGCATTGGGGTCTGTATCCCTGCCTCAGTCACTGCAGAGGACTGCAGCGAATTTTCAGTGTGAAAAAGCACAAACACGCATAGCACGCCACAAGCGTGTCAGTGTTTTTAATCTGCAGCATTAAGCCGTGAGGACACCCTGCCTGTAATCTACAATGGTAGTGCATGCTTTGGACACACAGAAGACTCAGGTCTGGACGGCAATGAGCCTCTCCCAGACCTTCATACCTGGGATACGACCTGCCGACCTGAGCAAAGTGGCCAGAGATCCACCACATTTGGACGACAGCCTCTCACAGCAACCTTCTGACACTTATGTGCCATGACCTGGCGTATCTGTTCATTTATGGGGCAGATAAAGCACATCCTCAACCGCGTGAGCAGACCGTCTGTGCATCATCCAATCACAAAACGGCGAAGCCCACCACAGCCAATCACAAAACGAAGCAGGCTGAAATTCAATTTAGAACATAAATTAAATTTGCCAGTAAAACAATCATCTAGAAAGCACCAGACTGACAGCCTGCTCAGCAGTCAGCCAACAAACAAGCTCCCTCAAAGGATGGCCTAAGTTTTATCATCTAATTAGGCAATTCACCCAGTAAAGATATAACTTATAGCAGAAACATAAACAGCTGGTTACCATAACGTTCTAACAATCCCATTATCAACCCTGGCCAGGGTATTTAACTGCTCATGACGCGTCATGCACCCTCACAGACACACCGTGATAACTGATCTCATTCATACATATAGTGCAATGGCTTTTCAAACCTTTATAAACAGATCTGCAAGGACTGCGTGAGTACGAGGCAGAGGGCAGTCCTGTTCTTACACAAAATAGAAGAAACGCAGAGAGTTCACAGTAATTGTAAACCCCTTCGGTGTGTTTACAAAGGGCATCTGAAACCCCCAGAGTACCATCATGTGGGTCTTGCTCTCAGGACCACCTCCTCGGGGTCTGAAGCGAATCAAAGCTGTGCTGGGGAAGGCTCCCCCTGCCCCTCGCGAGTATTCCCAGAAGAGATCATCAACAATGTCAGACAGGAAGGTGGAGGGCAGAACCACAGTCAACAGGATCTTTTCAAACGGTCCAACTCAACGGCTAATGAAAGCTGCCCCAATCACAGATTCTCAGCTGGAGGTTTAAAGGTCCCACCCCCATCCACAAATGGAGTTTTCCTGGAAAATACGCCGCTGTCATTACTGAGAATTCCCCATGGCTTCCCACCCCCCAGTCCAAACAAGCTATCAGTCCACAGTAGTGCTGATGGCTAAATCGAGTGACGCAGACCCCCTCGTATGAGCAGGCGACCCCTCCAACGGTGAAGAGCACAGCTTTCACAGAAAGGTTCTCCAGGAGCCAGACATCCTACCAGGCACAGAGCAGGATGGCTGATGCCTTTTAGTCTCACCGTTTCCTCTTCCTCTCAGGCTCACTCCTCAGCTTGTTGGGCTGGACCTTCATGCTCTTCTCTTCTTTCTTCCGCTTGCGAACGCTGTGAGATGCAGCCACATGTCAGTGCGGAGACCCTGCTCCCACAACCCTCTCCTTTCAGGAGGGCCGTACTCCCCCCCCCCCCAAACCCTGGGCCCGGAGGGAACTTACTTGCCCGGGCTCACGTCAGCATCCTGTTGTCTGCAGGACACATCTGTGGAGGGTATTCTGTCTAGCTCCGGCTCCACCCCTTCCCCCAGGTAGGGCCCCCGAATGCCATTGAGCTTATCTGAGGGCCGCTTGGCTGGCTGAAGTGGGGGAGGGGGAGGAGAATGCGACGCAGGCTCCTGATCCTCTCTGGAGAGCTCCTGCCATCGTTTCTGAAGAAGAGAGGGACACCCTGGGGATTTTACCTTCTCATCCTGGGCCTCCATGCAGACGTGAGCGCTGTATAGAGCAGCCTGAAACCCTGTGGTGCTCGCTCACCTGGACGGACACGTCCCCCATGATGAACCTGGAGCCCTCGATCACAGCCAGGTAGGAGAAGCGCAGCTGGTCGGGGGTCTGGATCAGGCCCATGCGGTACTTCCTCATCTCCAGTAAGACCTTCTTCACGTCTACAGATGAGGGATCTTTCCTAAGTTCCATCTGGTCCCAGGTGTAACATTGTTAATAAAAGATGCACATTCCAGACAGAACACAGCTAAATTATATTTATGAAGCGTAATGCATACTGCAGCATCTCAGGTAAAGCTGAGCGGTGCAAACAGCCCCGGCATGTTTAGGAAGCATTATGTTGTGGGGTCAAGCAGTGGAAAACGACGCACCAGGACGAGGCAGGTGTCGACCAGCGCGAACGTCCCAGAGCGGCCAATCCCGGCACTGCAGTGCACCAGCGCGGGTCCGTGCTCCGTCCCCAGTGAGCCTGATGCTCGGACCTTGAACAGGAAGTTGAGGAAGTAGGCGGGAGACTCCGGAACGCCGAAGTCAGGCCAGGTGGTGTAATGGTAGTGGTAAATATCCCTGCTCTCCCCGGTCTGAGCAGATTAATGAGAAGGAGGTCAGCAAACCCAGGACAAAGTTGCCGGTCACACAGGCACAGTAATATCCCTGCACCTCTGTCCGTACGTAAAGCAAGCACATGGAGGGACCATAAAGATGGACCCAGCGAAAAAGGGACGACGTTCTGCCCCACAACTCACATTCATGTTCTGAAGCTTCAGAACCCGCGCTGTGTAGTAGAACTTGACGTCTTCAGACTCCAGTACCACCAGGAAGCGTGTGTCCCTGAAGGACATCTTACGCTCATCACGTGTCGGCCAGTACTGTGCGCATTTTTCCTGGAGGGGACAGATAAATATCAGAACGAGAGCGAACATGAGTCGTCCGGCACAGTCAGCGCCCAAACACGCACAGCAGTGACACACCATTAATCAGATATACGGAGGAAGAATGAAACAAACACAGCAATTTACGACCCTGCAGTATGAGACCTAGCAGAAATAAGAACCAGAAAAAGGCGAGTGAATGCAGACTGAATGGCTCCAGGCTACAGACAGATGCGACATGTAGATAATATATCTATATGCTGTTCTTTCCACTTCCTTTAATCCAACCAACACAATTATGACAAGGGAAGTGAAAAAAAAACATAACTGGAACCTACAATTTATCAAAAATCATCTCTCCCTGTTGATTTCTGAAGTTCCTGTTAACTGCTGATGTGGTCCAGTGCTGTATTCTGCCTGCACCCCAAAATGGGATATGAGCACAATCTCTTCATCAAATCCTCCTTTGTCGCAGCTTCATGAAAACCAGAGCTTGGAAGACGTGTACTGACCGCCCTGTGTTTCCCGGTCATTTAAAGTATCTAAAAGGTTTTATCTGCATAGCTGGATCCGTTTCCAGGACAGGACAGTGCCTCATGTGCTTACTGGGGCTACAGCGGCCCTGACTGATCAAGACCCGTGACCAGCACTCAGATCCAGATCTGAACACATGACCAGTACTCAGAGCCACACATTTGTCCCAATGACCAGCGCTCAGCCTGATCCAAGCTGTACTTTCACTCTTCTGCAGTCAGTGACACGATAACTGCACACTTCATCACTGCAGCTGCTATGGTCACTGTTATTGTGTACGCACTGTGATTTTGGTTTGGGTTATTCATAAAAGAAAAGCCCGGTACTCACTGATCCTTTCTCAATGACCCTGCTAAGCATGATCACAGCTTTGGTCTTCTGCTCCCAGATCATCTGCCAAAAGTGACCGCAGGTGTTTCTGAGTGGACCCTGGAGATTCAGAGAGACAGCATATGCTGAGATTTCCACAAGCCAGCCTGTCCTGTGACTCCCATTCACTGTGGTCATCCAGTGGCCAGCCTGATTTCAGCTACACTACAAGCTAAACTCAGACAATGTATATATATCCTGTTTTTTTAGACTGCAAAACAAACCTCAGAACCAGCCACCATCATTCTAAGCAAAGACGCAGGTCATGGTGGTGGACCACAGGCTGCCCCCCCACCTTAAAGGCCTTACAATTCTTCTTTTTGTTTACATGCCATCTTCAGCTGTCTGCCTTAAATATTATTTCTACCACACTGAAATATTCACTGCATATATTATCAGTTGACTGTTTCTTTAAAAAGTTGAGTTCAAAACTTTTGAACCTTACGTATTAATATCAAGACCATGATTTTTAGGATATATGCAATAAATGAGGAACTTAACTATTCTATTTTAAACCATTTCCTCCAAGTAAACATCTGTACCACATTTCGAATTATATTTGAATTTTTTTAAATACCTGTAAGTTATTGGTCAGTCAAATTGTGACTGTAGCCAATCAGGATCATCATTTTTAGCTTAATAACACACACAGCCAATCAAAATGGATGGATGGGCAGGACTGACCCATCACTACAATCAGCCTGAATGAGAGGCCCTGATTCAACTCTTACCTGAGTTAAAATATAACTTCTTTGAGCTTCCTCCATCACAACGAGACTTGCGTTGATGTAGTCATTTTCTGTATTTTCTAGTTTAACCCGACTGTGATCAACTAGGAGGGAAGAACAAGGGGTTTACTACAGGAATCATTAAAAAATGAAATGAAGATGAGTTTCTCACAAGCTACAGCTGCTAGTCCCAGCATAAAGATGCCCCATGCGACACACATCGCCCCCCGGCGCGGCCCCCCGCCTCACATGGGCTGACGTCTCTGTATCGGTTTCGGTTCCGGTTCTCTGGATACTTGGCCACCTTGTAGGGACATTCATGGGACTGGTTGCGAATTTCCTGAGGGACAAAAAAGATCAAATCTATCTTTAGTGTTATACAGGGACATTGTCTGGCCTATTTTAGGGGCCCTTTAGCCCCCACCACCAATAATGTGTATTAATTGGCTTAAGTCATGAATAGTTTGCCATCAGTACCTCCCCCCCCCAAGATTCAGCCCCTGATCCATTCATCTCTAACTACACACCTGCTGTTACATTTCCCTCTGTAACTGCTTTGTATGAAAGAGTTGGAAACCTTATTTTCATGAATCCTAAACAGAGTAACGTCAGACGCTACTAGTACTCGCCAGAAAATCCCATGTCTATAAACAATTCACGAATGACTTTACATTCATGGACTGACAGTATTGTTTTATGACAATAACCAGTTAAAACTGTTGTAATTATGCAGCGTGGAGCTCTTTATTACAGAAGGAAAGATGGACTTTACAGAAAACGCTAAGCGCGGTGTCTGGCAGCTGCGAAGAAGACCGGGCCACCCCGGCACTACCGGGCGCTCCGCTGGGGTCAAGGGCCCCACATGCCTGGGGTAAAAGCCCCGTTTAGGCGGCCGGAATCCTCATCATTTAGCAAACCTGCCTATCAGCAAGTGAGCGCGTACGGGCAGCGTGTGGTTCCCGACAGGATGGTTATTTCAAACATGACAACTCGGCGTCATCCACCAATTCCTGGTGCGCGTCCTCGCCACGCTCGCCACCGACCGCTCGATCTCTTGCGCTACGAATTCAAGTTGCGTCCTTACCTCATGCTGCGCGTTACCGATATAAGCTGAGGGCCTTCAACCTCGGCACGAAGAGTTTAAGTGTATCTAAACAAAACCGAAAGCACAACTGACTCCGATAAAGATTCACACACATTACTCACAAGGTACAGATTCTGCCACCGGCCCTCCGAATCCATGTCCTCAAACTCCTGCTCCATGTTATATTGTTGAATACAGCGGTGTTTTAGAAATACAGCTGTTATTATGATAATTACTGATGTTTTCTTTCACTGCTCATCATCCAGTCCAGCCATTTACCGGAACAGAAAGGAACAAACTGCGTACCAGTGATAACTGACATTGACAACGAAAGTGGTGCTGCTGCGCATGCGCGGTAGAATGTGCTTGGGCCTCCCGCCGCACAACAGAAACACGGGAGATCCTCGCGAGGCGCGAGAACAACACGTACTCGCGCTCTCATTCGGCGCCGGCTCAACGCTGGCAACTATCTGTTTTTTTTAAAAACATTTTTAAGAGATACATTTAACATCGTAATCTTGGGGAAAAAATGCAATTTTTAACGTCACAAGTATGAAACGGTTAATAAAACAATTGTAATTGCAAGATACAGCATTTGGGCTTTAGGCCGTTGTTTTTCAATATAAGCTTGTCAAAGGCCAATATTTCCGCAATAACTGTAGCGCTGCAGCTACTAAACAGTTTCATTGGTCAATTATCAAGAAGGTGGGCCTTTATATTTACAAATAACACAGAACATGCTGAATAGATAATAATTCCGATTCTTTCCAGGACGAAGTTCTGTTGAATATTTTGTTTCTTACATCATATATATTCTAAGGTGAATCTGATTCTGCATTATTCCACGCAACAACGGAACATATGGGACCCACTTTGCAACTAAATGTCGCAGTCGCCATAATGTTGTAGTTCCTTAGGAAGGCGCTATCAACATCCTTTTTTGTAGAGGGATATTTGCTTTCAAGGATGGAAACTGATCGGCGCTGTGGATCCCGCATCTAACCTTACAACTCTCCGGCACAGTAGGTGGCGCTGTCGAGCCCCACCAGGAAGTCGCTTACCTCTATAAACCTCGCCGAAGAAGAACTAGAAGTGGCGGCATTGGTCTCTATGCTTAACGCTGGATGACAAACCTCGTGTTTTAGAAATGTCAGCCAGTTTATAAAAAAAAGCCTGATTCACTGAGGGTTTTCCAAGAGAAAAAAAATATTCCGTGTCGTCTAAAAATGTTCGTAGCTCGAAGTATTGCGGCCGATCATAAAGATCTCATCCACGATGTTTCCTACGACTTCCATGGCCGGAGAATGGCGACTTGCTCCAGTGATCAAAGTGTGAAGGTACAATCCGATCCTTGTGTTTATGCACAGGCACTGTTGACATACACCGCAGCGCAGCACCGAGGCGCTGAAACATCCCCCATGACAAATGAGCGAAATAAGACGTGCAGTTTACTTCGGTGCCTATAAGAATTGTGGGCAGCCGTTTGTAAACTAATTGACTAAATAAATTACTCAGGATTTTACAAGTAGCATGCATAAAGTCCTGGTATAGAAAATGTCCTAATAGTGGCTGGTGGTACTGCATGTGGAAGCTAATTATATGATCACGTGGCTTTGTACGTATACCCAAACATGAGGCTTTCAGTTTTGTACTATTATTCTGTTACACTACTGCAATAAACACTTTCACCTGTGAACGATCATTTAAACTTTTCGCTGGATTGTAAGCATGACACCTTACTAGTTTATTTATGCATTTATGTTATTTATATTCTTATTCTATTTTCTGTGGTGAAAGGAGGATGTCCAAAGTCAGAATTTCATTGCACAGCAAAACTTGTTTTCTGTGCATATGACAATAAAACTCTGTATATCTGTATCTATAAGCTGCCACTGTTTTTGTTTTATGTTAGGTGTGGGACAAAACAGAGAGCGGGGAGTGGCACTGTACAGCCAGCTGGAAGGTAAGGGGGGTGGGGGTTGTGGTGTTCCTTTAGGGTCCTTTTAACAAGAAATCTCAGGGAAAGCAGCTGGAGTTAAGTTGTTTGAGGCTAGTCCGCTTCTGCCTGCTGGACTGCCTGATGCGTGAATGCCTGTGCAGACTCACAGCGGCTCGGTGTGGAGGGTGACGTGGGCCCACCCCGAATTCGGGCAGGTGTTGGCCTCCTGCTCCTTCGACCGGACAGCCGCCGTGTGGGAGGAGATCGTCGGCGAGTCCAATGACAAGCAGAGAGGCCAGAGCCATTGGGTAAGACCCAGGGACCCGGGGCGGGCTGCTCGTTTGCACCAGCAGGTCTCAGGAACGGCGCTTTCCGGCTCGTTTCTGTACAGATCAAACGCACCACGCTGGTGGACAGCCGCACCTCGGTGACAGACGTGAAGTTTGCCCCCAAGCACATGGGCCTGATGCTGACCACGTGCTCGGCTGACGGTGTGGTGCGCATTTACGAGGCGCCGGATGTCATGAACCTCAGCCAGTGGTCCCTGCAGCACGAGATCTCTTGCAAGCTCAGCTGCAGCTGCATCTCCTGGAACCCCTCCAGGTAGGGCTGTGCTCCTCCCGCTCTCCCTTTGGCCATCTTTGGGTTGGGGTGTGGTCTGGTTCTGAGTGCTGATCATATATAAGAATGCGTACAGTTTCAGGAAGGCTGAATGATTTTCTTTTTTTCCATTTAAGTTTCCAGCATTGATGTGCTTTGGTCGTTTACCTTGTGATCTATATAGATCCAGTATCTAGTTGTCTGTATAGACAAATACTTCGCTGATCCCAAGCTGGAAATTCAGCGCAAACTATTCCTTGTTAAAAGCTTGTCCTCAGCACTATTAGGGAGACTTTCCTGCTGAGACTGTGTTTGTGCGGCATGCAGCTCCCGCGCCCATCCCCCCATGATCGCGGTGGGCAGCGACGACAGCAGCGTGACGTACACCGGCAAGGTCCAGATCTACGAGTACAGCGAGAACACGCGGTCGGTGCCTCTCTCTCTTCTCCGCGTATCTCTCACTCCTGGTTTTTAACCGCGTGCTCCGGTCTGCTGATGTATCTGCTTTTTTGGTCGGGCAGGAAGTACGCGAAGGCGGAGACGCTGGTGACCGTGACGGACCCCGTGCACGACGTGGCGTTCGCCCCGAACCTGGGCCGCTCCTTCCACGTGCTGGCCATAGCCACCAAGGACGTGCGCATCTTCAAGCTCATCCCGCTGCGGTGAGGCCCTATTTCCTGCCGCTAAACCTGCCCCCCGACTTACCGTGTGGGGCCCGTAATTCTGGATTTGAGGGCTTAACCCGCATTCTCATGTGGGGGGGGGGGGGGGGGCTCTGCAGGAAGGAGATCTCCTCGTCCACCGGGCCCACGAAGTTCGAGGTGCAGATCGTGGCCCAGTTCGACAATCACAACTCGCAGGTGTGGCGAGTTAGCTGGAACATAACCAGCACCTTGCTGGCCTCCTCGGGGGACGACGGCTGCGTGCGTCTCTGGAAAGGTGGGGTCCGTTTCCGTGCTGCTTTCCTCCCCCAGTGCCGCACGTTTGACTCGCTATCCCATGCCTTTGGTTCCACGTTGTTTACATGTGACAGACTGGGCCCTCGGTTGCCGTGGAGATGTGAGGTGTCTTTTACTCTGCCCCTTCCCTGTCCATTCAGCGAACTACATGGACAACTGGAAATGCACAGGGATCTTGAAGGGGGACGGCAGCCCTGGGAACGGCTCCTCCGGGCAGCCCGGGGCCCTCGGCACTGCGGGGGGCACTTTGGCTGCAGCCTCTCAGAATTCCCTTAACGGGACCTCGGTGGGAAGGTAGGTGTCCCATGGGGAATGTCGCTCCAAACCCCAGAACCATGTTCATATTGACAATGGAATATTCCGTGTTGTACCGGTAGTCCTGTCCTCTGACATGCAGTGTGCCCTGTAAAAAACCACGGTGAGTTTGTCAGGTGTGACCAGGCTACTACAACTGGCACTGGTAATGGGCATACAGCACCTTTTTCGATGGGGCGTCAATGTGGATTTTTAAGGATAATTACTGTTTCATTCTGTAACTTTAATATAACCATTGTATGTGATATTAAGGGTTATGGATGTTAGCCAATTGGAATGATATGCCTATATTTCATGAAAAGAGTTACTAAGTCGATACAGTTCATTCTCCCTTGCTGGCATTAACTAGAAAAAATGACGAGGTCGGCAGTGGCAGGCGGCGCCGTTTCAGTGGTAACACTCCCCGGTTTGGCGATGATGATAAAACGACATTCATGACCCGTGTACCAGCTGGGCCGGGCCAGACGGCCTCGCTCATGGCAGAAGCCCTGTGTTCTAAACGCAGGGACCCCAGTACTGTTACCCCATGTTGAAAACGAGCTAAAACCACCAGGGCAAGAATCCTGCTCTAAACAGACTGTTTACAGTCTAATTTCTTCTATGAAGGGGTTTTTAACCTTTTTAAAGTTTCAGAACTTTTGTTCTCTTGGTCTTCAGAATTTGGCCTTGCATATGACGAGCTGTACAGAGCATGTTAATAAAGGCAGTGATGATTCATTTTTTTATGAGGCTATGACTTTAAAGTTGCCAGAATCCTTTTGCTGGATTATGTCATTCGCCCGGTCGCCATGGCCCGGCTGGTACCTGCAGTCGATGTCTCTGTGACCTTTGACCCTGTCTGCTGTGACCTCTCACCCCCTGGATACTGGCCAATGACCCGCCCTCCCTTCTCCTCCTGTCATGTCCCCTTTAACAGAAAGAAAGCTCAGCTGCTCCCAGGCTAAAGGGGTAATTTCCCATTTTGCTGCTTGTTGTATGCACACACAGGAACGGGAAGAGGGCCCCCTTTTCCCCCCCTCTGCGCAGACCGACCTCCCCAAAGCCATTCCACCAGCCCACGTATTACTAATGCAGGGTGGGGCGCGTCTGTCCGCTCACAAAACGCGGATCAAAGTTTTTTTNCCCCCCCCCCCCCAGTTCTGTTCAGACAAGGGACCATTTCAAATTTACAGAAGACGTTCCACTTTCTTCCGGTTTAGCACCGACATTTTAATGGCTCTGATGACTTCAGAGCTAAATTAACAGTGTAATAGTTTAAATTCGGTACCAGACGACGGATGTTGAACCCCAGTGGGAATGAAGGCACCAGCCCTGAGCTGGATAATTGAAGAGTAACTCTTACTTGCTGTTTCTCCACATTTACCTGTGTGATGATCTTCTGTTCGCCGTCTTGTACATTGACAACAGTGTCAGGAAAGGGGAGGTCATCAGTGAACTCTCCTTGGTTAGGAACCTTGTGAGAAAGTGTCTTCAGAGGACTTTTTGAATAAAGATTTGGGGAAACAAAAGATTTAGTGTCCTAACAGATTCTTGGTGTTTTCTTTTGTATGTTTAAAATAAAGACCAGAACTGAATAGATTTATGCAATAAAAACTTCTCCGTGTTGTACTTGTTCCCTCTCTTGTTATTGTCACTGCGGCGTCTTAAGCTTCTTCTCTAGTCCTTTTCTACACTCATTCAGTCAGGTTTCCATCTCCACCATTACTCAGAATTTCAGTGAAGTATCTTAAGAGTGACTTTAGAGGGCTCTGCACAGTGTCGTTAATTTGTTTTGGATCTCGGAAGGATTGGGTTCTAATAGAGGAACCGGCTCAGCAGGCGTGTAATCCGGGAAGCCATCTTGGATCCTTTCAGATGCGACATGAACAAGCTCTTCCACGTTGGTTTAGAGATAATTACTTTGAATGGGAGCTGTATTTTTTTTAGGAATGTGTTGCTCGTTAGACTTTAAAGGGATGAAGGTGCTTCAGTACAATCCATCGTGTATAATGAGGAGTCAACAGGGAGACTCCATAGGCATGACTTACTGTGTTGGGATACGATGGCGGTTGAAAATCTCATTCCTCCCCTCCACTCCCTGCCCCCCATGCATGCTGGCAAAAGACCTCATTCTTCACCTCCTCCTCAGTTTCCCTCTCCAGCCATTGTTGTTTCATTAGCCTCCCTCATTTCTCCTTGTAATTTCAATCTCTCTCTTCATTTTTTTCCTTTGCTGTTGCCCTTATTTCCCTCGTCTCCGTTCTGTCTATTCCTGTCCTGTGTGTGTTCTCCGTGCTTTCAGGTATTTCTTTCCCCCTCTGGACCCCCCCTGGGCTGGTTCCAGGTACTCCCACCTCCTGCGTCCTCCCTCCCCGGTAGAGCACACTTGCGATGCTGATTCCTCCGGGTGCCTGCAGCCGCAGCCGCAGCTGCGCAGGCGATTCACTGGTCGCCCCCTAAACCCCCTGCCTGAACACGATGGGCTTTGATAGGAAGAACTATATTGCCCTGCTCTTCTCAGTTCCTCTGCTTTTATAAGGCTTTCTGAACAGCAGAATAAAATGATGCTCTGCAGAAACCACTGAAACAATCTACCTTTGTTTTTGTTTGACTGTAGTGCCTGTCGTCATCTAGATATTGGAATTCGTCTATTAATGTTTACAACACATATGTTACTGTATCAAGCTTTGTTTCCAAGGTTTTTTGTACAAAATAAACCCGCACGCTTATAATCCAATAACTGAAAGATACTTACTGTATGATCCACCATGTCCCTACCAATAATTGAATGACATGCTTAAGATCCGTTGTGTTCTTAAGAATAATGCTAGAGTACAGAGATATGATAGAAAATAATATAATGCTGTGGAGGGCAAACAGTTGTTTAATTAAATGCTCTCAGATACTTCCATATGTCCTGTTAATTCCTCACCCATCCAGTCATATTCCTGTCATTGTCCCATCAAATCCTGTTCTCATGACCTCCCCGTGTACTATCAAGGTGGTGCAGTAAAAATCGAACATTCATCTCACATTGATCTCCCGATCATCCCTCAGTAATTTTAAGATGCATGTGTGAATGGAACCTCACCCCTGCATCATTCCTGGACTCAGTCATTGTGAAAATGAACATGCCTGAAGAACCGGGTAGGGCGTTCCGAGGGAGTGCCGTGCATGTGTGGTGGAGAGCTGGGAGGGAGCGAAAACCTGGACTGGGAGTCCCCAAGGACCGGATCGGGAAACAGCAGTGGAAGAAACGAGAGGGCGATTAATCTTCAAAAGGACATCCCCACATCACTCACTACAACAGCATATGAGGATATATTAATCAGAAGACGAGAATCATTGTCAATCATTGCAATAATGTTTTGTTTTGTTACAGATGGGGGATCTGAGAAATGCATATGGGGGGCAAATTTAGAGTAAATTCGTTTTCAGGATTGCGGTTTGATCACATGCAGCTATCAGCCTGACACCTTATCGCTTCTGAAAAATCACAAGCTCACAAGCTGTAACAAAAGATGCTATTGATTTCCATTGTGCCGACTTTGGGTGGTGAAATTCATATTTGAGAGGTCTAGTACTGTTAATGTTGTTTTATAATGGTAAATTATTTTGTATTATTATAATATCCACGAAGAAGCCCAGTGTTCCCTCTATTTGAAGAACATAACTTTAAGTAAATAGGCTTGATGACATCTTAACCAGTATTCAGCTGAAGGTCCTTACTGTAAATATGTCCTTTATGTTGTGTTTTTTAGAGCAGATGTTCTACAGCAGTGTCATGGTTCCCTCAGTCTGCCATCTACTCTTCAATTTTCATGTCTTTCTCATATCAGGAAGGGGGCCCAAGCGTCACAGTGTGACAGCAGCCAGACAGTCATTCCCTCCATTTTAACAGCTTTCCCTGCCATAAATATCCTGCTTCGAGATGCACAAGTAGATGTGAGACTGCACTCACAGATTTCCATTTAATTCCACTTGGAGTTCCTCGTATGTGGAGTTCCTTCTGAATCTGCCGCCAGTTCTATACACAGCGGATGCTATGAGCGTGACCCATGTCTCGGAGGAAAGAAATCCACCCTACTATGGAGATGGTGACCTGCAAGCAGATTTGGGTAATTCAGGTCCAGAGGGTAAAAATCCAGACCACGATTTTGTTTCAACCAACCAGTTGAGTATAAAGAGTCACAGTCACAGAGTACTCAACTGGTTGGTTGAAACAAAATCCCGGTCTGGATTTATACTCTCTGGACCTGAATTACCCAAATCTGCTTGCAAAGACAGCCAGAACATCCCTGAGCACAGGAAGGCTGCATGCAAAAGAAGCCTTTGTTTTCACTATTTATTTTTGTCTGCTTTTTAATTAAAGTTATGAATCACAAGTGTCTGGGGCTTCTTGAAAAATATTTATTAAAATAACTGCCTTTCTCTGGATTGTAATGAAATGGTCAGTGATACTGCCACTTATAACACAGCCCTACTCCTATCTGGAGAGGGTGACCCAGCAAAGAGACAGAGTGACCTGTTAAGTGCAGTAAGTGCCGACGACCAGCAGGGATCACTGTTCTCATGATGCAGCCACCTCAGGTAAACGCTGACCTGTAACTGAGCAGCCAGCGGGTCTCACACCAGTGATACCATCCAAACCATTCATCTCAGGGCTTCAGCTTATGTCTCCAGCACCGTAATTTAGCTGTTCAATGACGTGTGCTCATTTCTAACATCTGACCGCATTTTGCTGTTCATTTCTATAACTAGACAGTATTTTGGTGTTCATTTCTATAATCAGACATCTTACTGCTCATTTTATAAGCTGACAGCGTTTCGCTATAAATTTTTATAAGCTGATACCATTTGCTGTTCATTTCTATAAGCTAACAGCATCTCCCTCAGGTTATCCAAGTTGATTCATCCTGAAGTTTCACCCGAGCCTCGACGGCTCCTTTTCCTTATTCCGACCTCCGCTTCCTAAACTGGGAGAAACCGCAGCCGTCAAAACTATTGAATATCGATTTTGTGCATATTAGGAAAATGAAAAATGAAACCACCAAATGAAAGTTGAGCATTTCACTTATCAATAGAGAAAACTCAGTAAGTACATAGAGCAAGCACAGTAACATGTTCGGTTTACAAGTCCGCTTTCCGTCTCCCAGTAATAAAATAAAGGCGCTTTTCGCTCTCCATTTGCTTAGTACTCCTACTCTGCAGATGTCGCTACAGCTTTTCCCAAATTATTCGGATGGACCGCGGAGGGAAGCTGGACCCAAGCCCTACTGAGCAGGAGCCCGGTGTCCGCGTCTGGGCCGGGGAGGGGAGGGTGCCTGGGGCCGGGCGCCTGACAGCCGCATCGGAGCGAAGCGGGCTGGCTACACGGCTGCTAAGCGCGCCGGGGGAACCGAACCGTCCGGAGGTAAAGCACCGCTCCTCAGAAAGGGCAGGGAAGCGCTGGGAACCTGCCGGGCAGACCGGACCGCCTCGGTTCGGTTCGGTCCCTAGGCGGAGAGCATCTGCTGAACTGGGATCAGTGATGAGCAGCAGCGCAAGTTTGTGCTCCGCACCCCGGGAAGGGCTCGTTTGTACCGGCAGGTGACATTTCGGCACATTGAATCATGTAACTATCGCTTATTCGCTTGTGTTTAAAAGGCATCATTATTGTTATTGTTGTTATTATTATTATTATTATGTGCAACCGGGTGGAATTCGTGCTTCTCGGTCATATGTACAATTTAATGCGTAAGCAGTTTGATTTGTATGTGACACAGAAGTCGTGCTTTTCGCATTTTGAGATGTTTCCGAAATTGGGGCTGGCGATGGCTGTTTCTCATCCGAGCTGCCTTGAAAATTTGCCGACTTTTTAGGCGAGATTTCGTCGCCCCTTATGTGTTTCACGGGGTGCTGCTTTTAGGAGCGTTTTGCATGTTAAATTTAAATTTAAAGGCGAGGTCATATTTGTATTGTCATTCATGGCTGTGTTCACCAGGACCTTGCAGATACGTGTACTGAGTTAATCTTTCACGTCCTGCTTCTCCAGCGCTCATCTCCATTTTACTCAGAAATGCAAGGATTTTACTCAACATTTTCATTACCTTAATTACTATTACAAGCAAAATTTGTGGAGTTTGCATGCTCCGCTTGCATTTATGTGGGTTTGAGTCCTGCCCCTGCTGTGTGTGCGTGGAGTTGGCATGGTCTTCTCCGTTTCTGTGGGCATCTTCTGGGTACTCATGTTTCCTGCAGGTGACTTTAAATCGTCTGTACCGCGCGCACGCGCGCGTGTGTGACTGCGTGTTCTGTTTTGGACTGGCATCCCATCCAGGGTGTCCCCTGCCCAGTACCCTGTACCTGCTGCAATAGCCTTATTCTGATACCTGGTTACTCTCTACTTGCCCAGTTGTTTTAGTGCAAAACTGGCCAGACAGACTGGTGTTTTCTGTGGTATTTATAGAGTGGTTGTTTAGCACAGTTTCACACATGCTTATGATTTGGGGTGAGGGAGTTTCTGGATTGAATGCTGAAGAATATGATGTCCAGTAAAAAAGAATTTATCACTGTGGCAATGAGCGTCCAATCAGAAACGTGGTCCGAGAGGTGCTCCTATTGGGGGATTATAGTTAATTGTGGTATTA